TCTTGGGGTCCTGGGGCTCTAAGCACAGGGGCTGGTCCGAGGGCTCTGCATTCAGAGGATGCTCTGGGAGGATAGTTGAAGCTCAAGTAGGTACAAGCCAGGGTGTCCTAGGGTAGTCAGCACAGGGGGCACTATGGCAGGGTAGCTGGGTGCGAGACAGGGTACAGGTCTCAGGGCATCCGAGGGGTGCCCTGGCAGGGCTGCTATAGCCAAAGTGGTAGGAGCCTAGAGTGTTCCAGTGGGCTTTGCACCCATCTCCTCTTGGTGTGATGGCTAAAGCTGTAGTGAGCATTGATCGGCGGGGGGTGGGGGTGGGGACCCACTGTGCGTGGTGCTGGGGCCACCTTGGTGGGAGGGCGGGGGATGGTGTGGGCTAGGGGCCCAGGGCTCCCTGAGGCAGCAGGCCAGCTAGGGTACCCACAGCCTACTCCCATCAAGGTGAAGGGGTACATCAACTGTGGCACTTACCAGCCCCTCCGACCAGGAGAGAGTTCTAGCAGCTCCGCCACCTTTTGGCAGGTTCAAGGGTTGGTCCCTTTACATTCTAGTTGCCCTTATAACCATTAGCATTTTTTCTGTGCCCATAGACAGATCTGCTCACAGTCCCTTAGTACTGTCCCTCTCTGCCACAGTTGGTAGCATTAAGGGTGGGGTTCCCCTCATTCCCGTGTCTTCATCTCTCTTGCCATTCTTTGTGTGGTCTCTCCCTCTGTTGTTGTACAGAAGCTGTTCAGTCAGCCCTTAGTTCTGCATGAGGATTTGCTCTAACAGTAGGTGTAGAAAGGGGGTGTCCTGGAGGAGGTGAGTTTAGGGTCTTCTGATGTCGCCATATTGCCCCAGAACCAACCTTACTCTCTGGTCCTTTACAGAGGAAGTGTGCCAAACTCAGATTCAGATGAGTAGTAGTTAAGAGGACAGCTTTGAATGTCACCAAGTTCCAGCTCTGCCACTTACAGGCATTGTGGGCTTAGACAAGTCTATTCAACTATTCAGTTTCTTCTTAAGTAGAAAAGAAAAGAATTGAATAGAATCCTATTTAAGTCCCTTAGCATGGGACCTGGCACAGAAGAGAGCACAAACCCAAAGTACCTGTTCTAAAGATGTAGGTATGCAACAAGAGGTGTATACACACCTCTTGTGTATACACAAAAAACAGACTGCTTTTTAAATTATCAACATAAGATCTGCAACAATATCTGTTCAACGAGGTTTCTGTACTTCTAAAAGCTCCCTCAGAAAGGTGATTACTTCAAAAAACGAATACTCAATTTGGCTTCATAGCTTTCTATGAAGATACAAACACCTCAAGGAGGGAGTTTTTCTCTTCTTTTCATCCCACATGCATCTGGTACAGTGCCGGCTCACAGAATGGGAAGGGTTGTGTCTTTAGTGAACTCAGTTTCCCTTCTCAAACATGTCTAGGATTCCAAAGTTTGGTGGATTGAAACAAACATTTGGGGATGTTATTGGGTGTTAGAAACAGTACCCTCTCTCGTTTGGTAGCAGGTATGCTCCTGTTCCCCATCCAAGGACATTTTCCTTTGTGCTTTGCTGTTCCTTCAAAAACAAATCCTTCCCTTCCCTAAACAGTGTTTTCATTTTTACGCCTTTTTATTGGCCACTCGCCTGCCACTAATTTACAAATGCCGGAGACTGTGTCGCTCACTCTTCCTGAGAAAACTATAGAAGGAACTTTGTGTGCGGCCAACTTGGTTTCCAATAGCAACGCACTAGTCTTTAACCACAAATCTACCTGAAGAGGGGCACGAAGCATCGGGCTTACACCTAAACACACGTTTGCCTCACGCCCCTAGCACAGACTCTTCATTTTTCTCAGAGTTCTGTGAGAACCGACAAATAGGAAATGATGCCCCACACGTAGCACCCCCCTTAGGCCAGCAGGTTTTCATGATGTGCTTGTGCACAAGACAATGGGATAAATACAGCACTGCCTGCCCCACAGAGCAAGACTCAAGCTACTCACTGCAGCACCAACGCATACCACACCTGGGTCTGATCTCTCTACAGCACAAGACTTTTTTCTGTGATAGATATTTAGGGTACTTTTTTTTCCTCTTTGCTACATCCTCCTAATCTCTTCCCCGCTCGCCTTCATCCAGGAAATTTCCCAGATTCCCTGTCACTGTGAGCATTTTCCTTCCAGCATGTGTGTGTGCACGGCAAAGGTCTGAAACTGTGAACATTTTTTTTTTTTTTTTACTATTAATCTCCCCCAACATGCACATAACACACACAGGCAACTTAGCCACGGAGAAAGAAAAAAAAAAAAAGACACTTATTCACAAAGCAAACACAGCTGTCATTTCATACAAAGCCCTTGTAAGATGAGCTACAACTAAAAAAATTCTAGGCCAACTCTGCAGTGATGTTTTTATAACAAACATGTTTATAGTATTATGAATTTCACACTTCCACATTTCTGCACTTACAAGGTCTTAATCATAATGAATGCCATTTCTGTAGTTCTCTTCGGGAAGAGAAATTACCATTTCCACATGGACGTGAATTGCAGAATTGTTCCTAGAGGCTGTGGAGTTCTGTGCCTGCTAGGATGGCTATAATGATTTCTTTGTAGTTTGTGTTTATTCAAATCATATAATGTATGCTTAAAAATCTAACACACTGCAAGTGCTCTTCGCTGCACTCAGTCAGGTCTAGTTCTGATATTCTTTAGGGTTTAAGTAAAAAGAGCCCTTTCTTCCTCAAGTCGGGTAAACATAAAAATGAAAGGGAACTTCCTTCACAAACCAGAAAGATGGCATTTCTTTCTGGAATGAGAAGCTGCTCCCACCCCAACAATCTATTAGTCCTGGTTTTAAATATTCTGTTACTGCTGTGGAATTAATAAATTAATAACACATTGAGAAAGATGCGACACTGTAATCATGGTACTTGCATGGTGCTTTCATTATGATGCTGGCCTTCTTATTGGCTGACAAAAGTTTCAATTCTGGTCACCGAAGTAAAAAATTCAAACATTACCTTTGTTAACTGTGCAAGTGGGAATAAACCATTTGTCTTCATGGCTTTTTCTTCCCTCCTTCTGGCAGGGTTAGATTTAAGCTTATGGGGGTAATCCCCAGTTTGCAGTAAGGCTGGTTTGAAAAGTCTTCAAGTTGGCAATCTAAAATTCATGATGTGTTTTGTTAGAAGTCATAGTCAGGCCCTCAGTTGAGTTTTCAAAAATTGTTTTATCCCAACCAATAGATAACAAGAATGCTGGTAGAAAAAAATGGAAGCTGTGGATCCTGAGAGGATCTTGTCAGACAGAAGTGGAGGAGAAGGTTATATAGCATGACCGCCATCTTTCTTAGGATGGAACTCCCCAGAAAAGATGGAAATATACCTAGATGATGGGGCCTCAAAGGCTAAAATGTGTATAGATGCTCAGTACTTGATAGGTGTGGTGTTTTGATGTTCTTAAGTAACATTAATTTCAGGATTACAGTAATACATTTATCAGGATCTATTAAATAGGTTTTTAAAACAGCTCTATTGAACTGTAACTCACATAACCATGTAATTCACCCATTTAAAGCACACATTTCAGTGCTTTTTGATCCATTTTTAAGTTATGGTAAAATATGTAACAAAATTTGTCAGTTTAACCATTTTAAAGCATGCAGTTCAGGGACATTAATTGCATTCACAGTGCTGTGCAGCCGTTGCTGTTCCTGAAACTTTTTCATCACCCCGAACAGAAATTCTGTAACCATGAAGCAGTAGCTCATTTCCCCCGCCCCCACCTCTAAATACCCTCTAATCTACTTTGTCACCGTTAATTTGCCTGTGCTAGGTACCTCATATAAGTGCAGTCAAAATATTTGTTCTCTTGTCTGGCTTCTTTTACTTAGCATCACGTTTTCAAGGTTCATGCGTGTTATGGCAACTTTTCTATGGCTGAATCCTATTCCTTCGTGTGTCTCCTACCTCTTGTTTATCCCTTCCTCTGTTCCTCTGTTGATGGCACTTGGGTCATTTCTGCCTTTTGGCTATTGTGAATGCGACAGCAGTGAAATTCATTGTCCAAGTAACTGTTAGAGTCCATTTCAATTCCTTTGGATATATACCTAGGAATACAACTGCGGGTCACATGGTAATACTGTGTTGAGCTTTTGGGGGAGCTACCCATCTGTTTTCCACAGCGGCTACACCATTGTACATTCCCACCAACAATGCGTGAGGGTTCCAATCTTTCCACATCCTTGCCCACACTGAGGATAGCCATTCTGGTAGATGTGACGTGGCATCTCCTTGTGGTTTGGATTTGCATTTCCCCAGTGATGAAGGATGCTGAGCCTCTCTGCATGTGATTATTGGCCAGCACTAGATCTTCGGAGACCTGTCTATTCAGGTCCCTTGTCCTTTTTTTAATCCGATTGCCTTTTTGTTGCGGAGTTGTAGCTTCTGAATATTAACCTCTTCTCAGATACATGATTAGCCAGTATTTTCACCCATTCTGTAAGTGGGCTCTTCACTGTCTTGATGTACAAAAGTTTTTTATCTTGGTGCGGTCCAATTTATCCGTTTTTTTTTTTTTTTTCCTTTCGTTGCCTGTGATTTTGGTGTCTTATTTAAGACCTAATTGCAAAATTATCAACTAAGTTTTCAATATATCCTGGTAAATATATCATAGTCCTATTTTAAGGCATCTAGGACAGTGTTTGGCATGGAAGAGACCCTGTATAAGTCTAAGAAAATCTAAACCAGTCTTTCTCATCACCCTGCATAGTGCACTGGAGACTGCATAAATGTGGCTTGCTCAACAACAGCGGCAGTCTAGACGCTAGGCGGAGGGATGGTCAGAGAACATGACAGAGAACAGCAGTTACACACAGTAGTGTTGGGGAGGGTGGTGATAACAGATCTGCCGTGCGGATGTCCTCTCCGTGGCCATCTTGAGTGACCAGTAAATGCTTTTGAGCGAAGGTATTAACACGTCAGCTGACAAATCGTCCCTCTCCTCCCTTGGCCAACAGGACCCCAGAGAGATGCCCAGGCAGCTCGAGAATTCATCCTGAAGATGTTCGTGGACCTGAACCCAGACAGTGACAAAATTATCTACTCCCACTTCACATGCGCCACAGACACCGAGAACATCCGCTTTGTCTTTGCTGCCGTCAAGGACACCATCCTCCAGTTGAACCTGAAGGAGTACAATCTGGTCTAATTGTGCCTCCTCGACACCGCCATCCCCTTCCCTGGTGGGCTATTGAAGCTGTACAAGAGGGACTGTATTTCTGTGGAAAACAATTTGCATAATACTAATTTATTGCCATCCCGGACTCTGTGTGAATGTGTCCACAGAGTATGTAGTAAATATTATGATTTTATTTAAACTATTCAGAGGAAAAACAGGATGCTGAAGTACAGTCCCAGCACATTTCCTCTCTTTTTTTTTTTTTTTAAGGCAAAACCTTGTGACTCGATGTATTTTCAATCCTCAGTCATGCACTCACCGAGTAGAGTTGTTTCTTTCTCTCTTTTTCTTTTCTATTGAGCAAAACAAAGCTGATTGCCCTTTTCCTAACCCATACCTGCCCCCCTCCTGATTTTTGGTTACAATGGCCTTTAGTCTCATTCCATTCTTGGTCCAGTTTTTCTCCCAAATGATACAGCCAGGACAGCATCATTTGATTTAAGCCATCAACATCAGCTTAATTTCAACGTTTGTCGTTTTGTTGAACGATTCTAAGTATTAATACTGTGGTTTTCACTGTATGGCTCTGGATACACATATAGAGTTGTTTTATATAAATATATTGTCTTGCCTCACTTTGGGCTAGGATGACAGATGCCCGTCTTATAGTTAAGTGTCATTTCTTTTGGATTTCTACCTTCAGCCATAGCTTGGTCGCTGAGAGAGATGCACAAGTCAGTAAGGCAAGAACAGAGACAGACACACAGTTATTTAAATGCCATGTGCCATGGTCTTTCCACCCTTTTTTCTTTCACCCTCTTCAAATTGTAGATGCCAAAAAAATATATATAAAATATATATCTATATATATATATAGATATATATATATATGCCAACAGACACTACATTACCCCAATGGCTGCTACCCAGAACCTTTTTCTTAGGTTGTTTTTAATTTCTCCCCCTCTTGGTTCAGGTTTTTCTTCCTTTTTTCACCTTAGTGTTTGGGCCATAATTTATTATGGGGGTGTGTTTGTGCGTGTGTGTGGCCAAAGCTGGCTTTTTGTAAAAGATAAAAGCCAGTATCTTAAAATGGAAGAGAGTAAGACTGTGAATCCTAAAGTAATTGGCTGAGAACGACCCTGAAACACCAAACCGTCGGTAACTGTAAATTTGATTGGCATGGTCCGTTCTTTTCCTTGCCCTGAGATCACATTGTTTAGTGTCCATTCCATGTTGAGTGTCCAAATCGGCAATGTAACAAAGTGTCTTTGTGATAGAACATGAAATCTGTTTCTATCTCTTCACTTAGAGCCAGTTTTACTCTTTCTGTTCTTTAAGGTCAAGTAGGTCTGCCAAGAACATTGAGTATTCTGACACCTCTGATTTTCAAAATCTGAAGTTCCTACTGGTTTACCACCTTTGGGATCTTTTTAAACTGGTCAATGGTTAAGTTGAACCTAAGGAAGACTTTGTAGACTTAAGAGTAACCTGTCAGTGTTCTATAGAACATGTATTTATGTAACTGAACCTACTAGGAGAGATATTTGGAGTTCTTTAGTGCAATTTTTCAACAAATGCAAAAAAAAAAACAAACCAAAAACAGCACATGTATTGATGAGCTTGAGTTGAAATATGATTTAAGAAAATAAAGCAAGATTGTTTTAAACCTGCTGGGAAGTAGGAATTAGGCCACAACACTGGTCTTACTTTAAGTATCCAACTATTTGGCCCAAGTTTAAACTTCCCTATCAATCACCCTTTGGGAACAAAAGGGAAGAGAGAAAATGAATGGGTTATTAGAGGAGTCCAAGAGTTCCTAAGCAGTGATGGAATGTTCTCCTTCTTTACTTTCCCCAGCCACAAACAACACAGGTTACTTTTTCACTTTGCTCAGAAAGCACCTGTAATTTAATTAAGAACCAGACTGCCTGTAGGTATAGTGCAATTCTGAATGCTCTAATCATTGTACATACATCTGTTGATCCTGCAGCATCCATACTGGCTTTGTAATCATTAATGTTTTGGCAGATTGAATGTGCTGTATTGATATGTATCTATGTATTTGTATGTCTTATAGCTAATTCACATTTTGAATAATGTTATTTTATTTACTTTTTTAAGAGAGGAGAATGTAAATTTGTCAGTCTATTTCTGACTAGGGATATTTTTTTTTCCATTTAGAAAAGAAAAAAAAATCTTACTCTCGTACAGAGCGGTACTAGCATCGTGCTGTATAAAATCATTTGCACATTCCGGAGTAGAGGTATACTGATCAGACCCAAAGGTAATTTCATAGCAAAATACATAACATCAGTCGGAGCTTTTATACAAACATGGAAACCAACTTTGTAGAACTTTTGCCATTTGACCTAGGATTGGAATATGAGCTTTTATACAATTCATATTCTTATTGGGCAAATGCACAGTTTAGTATTACCTCTCTGATGGCCTTTATTAGAAAGGCAGTTTTAGAAGCTATTGTGATCCACTAAGGAAATGTTTTAACAGCTAGAGACCACTGCTTGCCTGAAAGGGCAATCTTAAATTTGGTGCAGCAAAAAAAAAAAAAAGAAAAAAAGAAAAAAAAAAAGAAAAAGAAAAAAGAAAAAAAAAGGGAAAAAAACAAAAAAGAGAAGAAAAAAGTCAACAATGACATTTGAAGGCCTACAGTGTGTATAGAGAAAACCTCATCACAAGATCATAAGTGTTACAGTTTTAGGGAATCAAGATATTCTATTTAATAGAGCTATAGTAGATGTAGTCGATTAAACATGATCTCAAAGCTCGAAGAAGTTGAGCAAACAGGGAAAGATTGTTCTATTTGTCTTTATGAAATTGGGATGGAATTGCTATGCAGAATTGAGGTTTGTGGCTTCACTGTTTGCCGTAGGGTGCATGACAAGATCCCTTTCTGTTGAGAAAGGAAGAAATTGATCACCCTAGCTGCAGTGACGCATGGAAACCTAATTGTATCCACACTAGTCAATCGAAGCTAAACGATTTTCTTTTCTGTCTCTTTGTTTGGGGTTTTATTGAAGGGGCTAGGGGTGGGAAGGGGTTCTTTTCAGTTTTGTATAAAAACAAAGTTTACTCATGCTTTCTATTATATTGTGATTGCAAGCGTTAGAAGCGTGTGCCACTGGACTCCGGCCATTGATGCTCCAAGTAATGGAGCCCGTGGCGAGTTTTTGGTGACTTGGGCATGTCTTATTCAAAAAGAAAAACACAAACAAAAACCTTTCTTCAGCATACCAAGGCAAGCAGCCATTTCATGACTCACTTAACACATTGCAGTGGACCAGTTTACAGATAATTTTCCCTCTTTTGCGTGACATGGCCGTTCTAAACCCACAGAGAATGCCTCGTTTGTAAATTGGAGGGTTGTACTATGCCTTACAGAGCTTAAATTCAGAAGTTTGTGCCTCACATCTGAAACAAAGGGAAATAACACACCTATTCAAAAGTCAATAAATCCCCTCAAAGTTTTTGGGTTTTTTTTTTTTTTTAAAGAAAACATTTTCATATAAAGAGCTCTGCTGAATGTCATAAATAGACTGGGGAAAAAAATCTTAGGAACCTGCATATGTTGTTTACTAGCATATGACACCTACAAAAGGTATTTGAAGAACACCTGAAACTTGTATTTTGTGTGTGTGTGTGTGTGTGTGTGTGGATTAACTAGCAAGCCTACTATTAAAAAAAAAAGGTAATTCAGCTAAAGGACAATTTACTTTTTGTACTTTAGACTATCTTGACTGTCAAGGTGTATGAAATGTAATTTTAAAATTTATACTGCCACATGATTGTAAATTTTAGTTGTCTTAAGTTAGAAATTGGTAACAAGCTATTTATGCTGGATTTGGGTCAAATGACTTATTTGCAAAAAAAAAATAATGGGAAGAAAGGGCTGTATAATGAGATACTGCAAGACTCAGATACTGGTTGGAAATAACCTTCAAAATTACCTTCAATTTCCCTTTGTTTTCAGTTTCTCAAAAAAAAAAAAAAAAAACAAATGAAATGAAATATAGAAGAATGTTAACCCATATCAAAATAAAGTGTACCCAACTATTGTAATGTATATTGCTGCTCTTCTTAAAATTAAACAAGGGTTTAAAACCACTTAATTGGTAATTGACAACATCTCAATTGATACAAACAAGGTGTGCTTGGTATACATTACTATTTTTCTTCCAAAGATCTATCTTTGGTTAGAAACACATACAAAAATTAAAACCTGTAATAGTGTATGTTTATCTGTCTCCACATATTTCCAGCATATGTAGTGTTAATAGGTCTGTCCTGGTAACTATGTGTTTGGGATTTCATTTTTGTTCCACCAAATTAGGAAAAGAAATGGCTTAGTTGTGTATGACTAGTTAGAAATTTTTGGAGCCAGACACCTGCTGTTTAGTAGAAACCTAATAGAGAGTCTAAACTTGTCATTTGTTTTTCCTCACAGAGTAACCACCCATTCATTGCTGTCTTCCCAATTTCCA